AACAAGGACTAGAATCTGCGGTCCCCTGGTTCAATTTTGACGCATACCCATTTCTTGAAGTCTCCCTATCTCAAATTCGGCCGGGGACCCCTAATGGATGGCTGGTTTCTTTTGGGTGAGGGGGGGCCCGTACCATTTCGCAACCTTCTTTTGGGGTATTGGTTTTGTTGGGTTCTTGGCTTTCAACCTAGACTCTAAGTCCACTAATTGGCCATGGCACCGGAAAACCTTATAAGGGGAATTTTATGCCCAGAGGTACTTCGACCAAGACCTGCAAGAGTTGCAGGCGTTGCCGCCAGGAGATCGGATTCGAGTTCCCGAATATCCCCTCCCACTTGCTACCCTGTGTTGTTCTTGAGTGTTTGTTACCGAACATGCCTTTGCTGCGACATCGCTGCCCTGTGACCTGCGCCCTCAAAGGTTGCACCGCCAGACTGAAACAGCCCTTAAGGATAAGCCTCAACAATTCAAGGTCAACCAGGGGCAAATAAGGTCTACATATGGCTTAACTGTCATCTTTATTCTTCGAGGCGTGCAATGTCCGGCAGCTGACCCGGTCCCTTGTATTATTTTGTCTCCAATCAAGCGGGATGCAGACGGCTGGTTTCCACGTGGTTTGAGGTTCCCGAGTTTAAATTGGAAAGAGACAAACAAACAATTAAATAATTAAACAACTAAACAAACAAGCAGCCAAGCAAACACGTAAACAAACAAATATACAAACACCCAGCGCGCGCGGACATACGTACGCACGCAAGCACACGCAAGCACGCAATCACATAAATACACAAACACAAACACAGGCACACACACACACATACAGAGACACGAAAGCACACAGACAGACAACCACACAAGCGCACAAACACATACACACTAGCTCACACACACACAAATCCAAGTGAAGTCCTACAAAGTCACAGCCTAACGATCGGGGGATGCTCGATTTGTTCCGCTTGCTTCGAGGTGTTTTGTGTGCTCTGGTCATGGAACTGTCTCTTAAATTCGGGCAAAAGTATGGTGAGATCACAATCGGAACTCTGACTTCCTGTTTATGGGGGTCCGCCAGTTCCTTTGGTTCTTAATAAGTTATACTCATTTATACTCTAGTCAAGGTGGTTGTTTTCAAATGTTTTCAATATTCGGGTCAGAAGCGATCCCATGTCGCTGTGGAACACGGCTGGTGTTTGAACAAATGTTTGTTCCATTTCACCTACACCAGGTTAGACCTTTTGCTCGGGAAGAGCACCCCAGTGAACAACAGCATGCATGCAGAAGACCGCCCACTAGGCGGTAAACGGGAGAATGGGAACTCTTTCAGCCATGGTCTAACAATGTTGGTCATGGTTGAATCACAACCTTTGCAAGGGGCATTGTCATTTGGCGTTTTGGCTCAAAAGCCAAATCGGATAGCCCCCAGTGAACATCCGATTCAATCCAGCCACCATATTCCCGACTCAAATGGGTGGTGAATTAACCTAGCCACCAAAATGGTACCAGCCACTTCTTCACCGTTTCTTTGGGCTGGGTCTCACTCGAGCAAGCTGCAAGTCCCAACGGGCTGCCCCAATGTTCAGGGAGCTCCCAACGGGTGAGCCTCACCAGCGGGTAGTTTGCTGCAATAATTTATCAACGCACACGGGGCAAAAATGCTCCGGGATTTCTCTCTATTTCAGGTGCGGTGAGTTGAAGTGCAACAAATCAACAAATCCAGCACCCCTGGAAACAATCGAAATATGTCCAGTAGTGAAATCGATTCCCTTTAAAACCAACAGGGGAAAACAACAAATAGTCATTTCAACAAATGGAAGAACTGGGAGAGCCCTCGCACATCCAGCTCCGAACAGGACCTCCCCGGCAGCAGGAGAGACCAGCGTGCCGCAGGGGAAGCCGATGGGCGTCGGAAGCGGCTGGGAGCCGGTAGGTTTGGTGCTTGGTATCCCCAAATTTGTGGATGGACGAGTTTCATGCACTGCTTTGAACCCCCGGAAGCCTGTCAATGCCGAGAATTTGTTATTTTTTTGCATGGTTTCCAAGTGGTGCAGGACTGGGTCCATCCACAGTAACTCAGTAGATGCCCTTTGCATCGCTTGGGTCCTGGGCTCCAGGGGTTTAGATGGGTGTAGATGGCCCCGTTTCTCAGGGAAACTCATGCTTTGCAACCGGAAGCCGGCGAAAACAATATGAACAGATGCTTTTCAACGCGATGTCCGCGCGATTTTGTTTGGGATCTGGGCTCTTGGGCGTTGCTTTCCCGAAGTGGGTGTCCCAGAAAAAAAGTTGCTCGTGAGGTAGTGACTTTACGCCAGCATGGGTGACTTTTCCGATGCGATGTGTCCCCATGCTAAGTGCCAACTTTACGCGCGGGCGTGGTGACTGAAGACGAGGGCCAAGGATTCAGAAAACCGGTTCATGATTCCGGGGTCGACAGTACCAGGAGTTCTGTAAGGGCACTGTAGCGGGAAACTCACATTCAGAAGACATTGAGCCAACAGATTTGGCAAATTTGCGGCGCTTATCAGTGGTTGGTGGAACCAAACCCACGAGACAGGTTCTCAGAACCCCCCCCACCCCCAGGTTCAGGCGGCCGTATGCCGTGTCCACCGGTGGACTGGACAAAAGTGACCCGAGCCTAGAGTTCAACCCCCCTTACAGAAATGGGAAGCCATATTTGTTGGTATTTACTGGGGAATCATCATTCGAGGGAATCATAGGTGGCCCATTGAAAGAATTGATCCAATTTGGAGGATGACAACCCTGAAGCAAACCATGATGGCTATATGCACCCCCATGGTTTTGATGGTGGTTGGAACCCAGCGCAGACCAACCTTAAAAACCGGGGAGGGGGGTCGGACCTAAGGTGACGTAGGGGTTCAAACCCCAAAATACCCGCGATGGCCCTCTGCGCCAAAAAGATTCGCGCAGGTATCGCTTCAAAAGCGGCAGCACCTACACCGGCCAGTGGCTGGGCAACGAGCGGACGGGAGCCCAAGCAAACGAGCAGGGGGTGTCTTTTTTTTCTTCTCCTGAGTTGGTCTTCACTGTTCTTGGATTAAGTGTTTTTTTTTGTTTTATATTATTATTATTATTATTATTATTATTATTATTATTATTATTATTATTACTATTATATTGATGTTTCTCTTGGAAGGAAGCAAGGCTCCCAAACAGCACCGTTCAATCAAAACGGCGGATTTGAAATGAACCGGTGGACATTTGTGCTTTTTCAGCCAACGGCGGACATTTTACACATCTTTTGTTGTCTAGGTTTAAGGATCCGATCCACACTTTGGGTCTGCTAAATTCACTGAACTTCGGACGCAGAAGACGTGATGTTGCTTTTTCTCGCAAAGGCTCCGCTCGCTAGGACATCCGGCCCAGTTCGAGCGAGTCAGATCGGTTGCTCAGGCATGGCCTGGGTGTGCAGCGATGGGTGGACGGCGCCGCAAGGGGCCAAAGGAAATTGGGGGGGCGAATGTTTGAGGTGCGATGAGACGCAGGGCAACATGGAGAGTCGCCCGGCTCTATACTAGCTCCCCCAGGATCGTGCCGTGCCCTTTTACTCTTTTTTGAGGGAGGGTTCCCCTACCAAAGTAGACTGCAGAAAAAAGTGTACAATTAGTTATTCTAAGCTCTCTACTGAAGGACCTAGTATTTATTAGTTCAATGGTCGAAAGACCCCTTTTCTTGGGGTTAACAGGGATGGTCATCCACCTGGTAGCAAGGATGCTGAATAACCAATGATTCCTATTAAGGAAACCATGTCCATAGGCCTTATGAGGCATCCGTGGTTTTGAAATCCCGTGTATGTCCGTTCGAAAATGAGGTTTTGCGTTTTTTCAGGTTGTCACCTGGTGCACTGCTGAAGTTTGCTCGTTGATGAATAGTTGTCCCCTTTGGGACGTAAGAGGGCTTTTCTCAGGTTGATTTTGCGACTGACTGTTTAGTTCGATTTCGCCTCAGACTAACCCCTCGCAGTAAATGGCCCTCACACATAAACATGTATGCGTTGTGTATGCATGACATCCACACACCCGAAAACCTTTGCAACCTGAGCTTGGCCAATCATTGGGCTCCGCCGCTCCGCCCCGTTTCGGACCCGGTGCAGCATCATCTAGTCTGGGGGGTCGGGCTACAGGGCCAGTTTTTGGTTTAACCCCCCTGTCCGGACGCCATACTTGCCAGAAAGAATCTTCCAGATCTGTTTGGTGGGATGGGAACCCTGGTTCTGGGTCCCATGCTAAGCCTGTGAAGTACTTGCCCTCCTGCCATCGCCAGAGGAATGGTCACTTGCCAGAAATCAGTATGGATTGCTCGGACTCCAACACCTGTTTTCCTTTTGGGGAGGCCCATTTTGGAGGTTCCTTGTGCGCATGTCTATTTTGTTGAGAGTGGCCCTTTTGGTATGGGTTTCGGATTCAAGGTAGAGGGTTCCCCTATCATGCCAATAGGCGTTCCTTGTTTGGTAGTTTTGACATTCCATGTGGTGCCAGTATAAGTAAGAACTTTGGTACGGTAGTGTAATGATTTTGGGTGGACGCATGGTGTCCAAAGTAGAACATCCCTGCGCCTCTGGGGAGCGACCCCATGTCGCTTGAGGTTTACCAGGGCTACTGGGAGCACAACGCCGCGCATGGCCTGGGCAGATTCATCCACACCGATGGGGATGTTTACTGGCGCATCCGGCACGTTTGGCCAAGTCCATGCGGCCTGCAAAAGGCATGCTTGAAACTGGATCGCTCAAAAGGGAACAATTCGAGAAGTTCTTGGGAGTATGCGGGGGGTTCTCCTTGAACTAGTTAGATATTGCCACTTGAACAGACCCAGACCCTAAGCTGCAAAAATGGTCGGGAGCTCAGAAAGGCACCCAAGCCTTCTTCTGCAAGGTTGGTCGCGTGAATCTGCAGGGAATACGTAGAACAACCTTTTTCGCGGTTCCTCCCCAAAAGGAGTCAAAGTCGTCACGTTTTCATATGTTACTCTGCGTGACTCTCGCCTTGTGGCTCCAAGCGCAGATTTCGGTGCCGGGAACATTTAACAGCGGCTGGTCATGCGGGTGCTCCTGACGCTCTTGCTCGTGATTGATGCTTCGGCATCCGATGATCGACATCTCCGTGGCTTCCAAGACAGAGCCTGCACCGGCGAGGGGCAATTTCCCTCCGGGCCACTGTGCTACGGGGGCCAATTGCTGGTCACTCAGTTTCCCAGAATTCACCTTATCTTTGATTGAAACAAGTGGCGTTTGGTTTCAACTTGTTTTTTGAGTACCATCTATTTTCCATTTGGATACCTAGAAACACCCCAGTTCGCAGTTCGCAAAGAGCAAAAAGCTGTTTCCTTTACAACTTTGCGCACGGAACCCTTGCTGCAGGGCCTCCTTAAGGAGAAGTTCCACGGTGTTGGTGATGTTGAAACTCCCATGCTTACCTGACCCTTCAAATTTTGACTTGGAAGAAAGGACACGCCCCACTGAAGGTCCTGGCTTCTGACGACCAAAGCTTGCCGGTGCTCAGTAGGGAGTGTTGAATGAACCCAGGCTTTGGTCCCCTTAAAGGAAATTCCAGGGTTTTGGGTGGTTCTTTAGAAAGAAGGATGCCTGCAAAGAATGGAAATGGAAGGTACCCCTAGAATCCCGGTTGCATCCTGTTTGTTGCATTTTGCCAACGGATGTTAGGACTTGAACTTTTTGCAAACTAGTGGGTTTTCATTAGTCAAATGCTTTTATAGGGAAATCAGAGATTTCCCCAGTACCACCCATTATTCTGATGATTCTGCTGATTTTAACGTGTTTAAACCACTAAACAATAGACTTTTCGCAGGGGAGCAGAAAGCAACCGAGAGCTGGTTGGCTCCCAGGTCCAAACCTTCTCCATCAAGATCCTGCGCCACGACGGGCAGAGTGGGGTGGTGGATATGGAGATGAAGGGCCCCAACTCGGCGGCCTGCCGCGGGGCCGAGTTTGTGAATGAGGAGAGAACCGTCCAGGGGACGGCAAAACTTGGCTCAAAAAGCCATCCCTCAGCTTTTTAGTGGTTTTTGGTTGGTTTTGGTTGGTTGAGCGGTTGGTTTTCCATTTTGAGCCCAGCCCTGCCCTTGGCTTTTTACTTTTTTAGTTGTTTTTGGTTGGTTGAGTGGTTGGTTTTCCATTTTGAGCCCAGCCATGCCCTTGGCTTTTTGGTTGTTTTAGTTGGTTTAGTGGTTGGGCGTCCGAATTTAACCCACTAAAAGTTAGTCGCTTTTAGCGGGGAGCCGAGCAAGGCCCAGAAAGGAAAGCGTTCTTCCCACGTTGTCCCTGCATTTCTTCTTTGCCGCTTCCCAGTGGACATTTACATAGCCAAGGGAACCAGCCAAAGACAAGGCAAATGAGTGGTTACTTGCTGCATGGGATGTTTTTTCTGGGATCCACTGCGAAATCCCACGTTTTTTTCTTGAGGAGGGCTTGATCCATCCCAACTGGATTTGGTCCATTCACGGAATAGTCTAAGCAACCTCCGTGTGGCTTACAGCTAAAAGGAACTGGAGGGGTGGGCTGCGTCACATGTTGCCCAGGACAACCAGATCACCATCGCCAATGATCACGGATGCGGGCTTTCAGCCTCCGAGTACACTGTGAAGTACTGTCCTGACCAGGACTCTTACTTGAGCACAGGCGTTTTTTTTCTTCTTTTTTTTCTCCGGTGCTCGCCACCAAAAGCTGAAAGTTTTCCACCCCAACACACCATGCTTCACCTTTTTTTTTACGGTTCGGATCGACAGGGGTCCCCATGTTTCCCTTTTTGGTGGTTTCAATCATGGCCCTTTTGGCCCATTTAAGGTCAGCTTCCGTCTGGTGGGCTGACTGTTTAAGGTTTGCCTTTGGATATTTGGGTCACTGGTGTCAACCTTCGAAGGATCACTTCATTATTAATTTGGTCAAGCCGTGGAGCGTGGATGTGGTTCTCAACAGCCAGTCCTGCCCCAGCAACAAGGAATTTGTGCCGTGAGAGTTGGGAGTTTGGAGCCTTCACGCGCAAGGCTCGGCTGGCAAAGTCCAGCAGTGCATGTAAACATGGGTGTGTCTTTTTCTGCGGGTGGGCGTTTGAGGGTAGTTTTAAAGGGAAGCCAATGGAAGCTACGCATTTGGGGGTTACCTCATGAGACAAACCCAACCGGGGCGCTTCCGGGCAAGTCACCCTGACGTGCTGGTATCATTAGACTCGCGGCGAAATGAGCCGAAGCGGCGGAAAAGAAGTGAGTTGTGCTTGTCCAAGAATGGGTTCTTAGAAGAGGACCTCCACTGGGCAAGAGACAAACAAGCATGAGTGCAGCCATGTTGTTCCGGGCACGTTCTGCTGGTTGATAGGTGCTTGGCATTTTTGGCGGTGCCCTTTTCTCAGTCAATTTGCGTGACATTGGCAGCTGCTCTTCTGTCCCTGTGTGAAAGAGGGGGGTCCTGTTGGTTTCTTTTCGGGGCAGAATGTGCTAGCGAAAGGAAATGTCGCAATTTAGAGCGCTTTTCAAAAACGCATACCGGGGATTTGTGGAATTTCGGGTTTTGAGCTTCACTTATTTGCAAACCACCTGCCACCCACAACCCCTCAACTTTTCGGCCCAATGAGGCCACCGGCCAGAACAAACACGCTCAATACGGCATATTTCCATGCCAATGTTTCTTTCACTGCCATGCATGATGTTTGGGCGACATCTAGCGACCTAAAAGTTTGCGACCATGGAGATGCCTTTCAAGTTCGCTATTTTTCTTCCATCTCTGAATTAGAGGATCAATCAAACGGTCCTCTAAAATGACGGATGTGGGATTTGGGGTGTCAATCTGCAGGCAAGTAGTAATGTGATCCAGCCGTTTCAATCAGTAGAGCGAACCTTGAGTGCTGCATTTCCAGACTTCAGTGGCAAAAGCGCCCAGAACCTTCTGACCAGAGAGGAAACTCACGCAGCTTGCTCATGTGGGTTTTGTTTGTTTGAGTGTACCTATTTACTTGGTGACTCCCAGCCATCCCCTTAGCTTTTTAGCTGTATAGGGGTTTAGTGGTGGTTTCTATTTAACCCGCTAAAAATCAAACTTTTAGCGGGATCTGAAAACGGGCAGCCCAGTTTAGTAGGTCGGTTTAAAGGGAAACCAGAATGAACACCACCCAGTTAGGGGGTGCAAATCCACTGAGAGACTTGGTAGACCACGAATTGGAGCCCAAGGGAGGTGGCAGCGGTTTTGGCCGCCTTCCAGCTGCACTAGGTTTTAATCCACAGAAGAACGGTGGAACCTATTTGGGTGTGGCTCAAAATTAAAGACCTAGGGTTACGCAGGTTTTAGTGTTTGGTTCCATTTACCAAGGTGCCATTTTGGTACATTTATTTGAGCCACAGCTATTTGGATGGCAATCCTTGGGTAAACGATGCTAAGTACATCCAGCAACTTCCCCCCCCCGCACCCCCAAGTTGGCTGGATTTTTCAAGCATGCAACCAAAATCCCGTTTGTACGGCAATCAAAAGGCAGTTGTTGTGGCCCATTGGTTCAATGGTGGTTTGACTCCCAGGGAGTGGTTTGTGGCAAAGAGAAGAGCGATGAGTTCCGGCCAGTGGCGAGTGGCAGAAGAACGTGGCGCACGGTTTGGGCAGCTACGTGCACCAAACTGAGAGCCAGGCACGCTGATCACCAAGAACTTGTGGATGTGGCTAAGAACCCCATTGCTCCGAACCCTGCGTGGCTACAAACTCTTCCACGGCCTGGGATTCAAACCAGAAACTAGAACAATGAAGGTTTACACAACCACCGTTGTTTACCTGAAGAGCTTCATCGTCCGAATTGGGTCCCCCCATGGGCTCTTCTCTCAGCTAGGGATTGAACCCTAGGGGCTTCCTCGATCCTTCCCGCGAAGCGTCAGCGCTCCCAAACTCCAGTGGCCAGGCGAGAGGCCGGAGATGCTTAACAACAGAAAAGCAGAAACCCCGACTACTGCCCAATCGACAGTGCTCCGAATTCGCAAAACAAGAGCGGTCAGCAGAAGTGCTGCTTTGTTTTTGAAACACGGGATGCCCTTTTAAGGTGCCTGATTACCTCTTACAGCGAAGGGAATTAAGAGCAGGATTGGCAACAAGCGCAGCAGGGAATGAGCCTTTTATCCGCACAACGAAGCACACTGCGTTTTCCAGGCGCGCGCGTGTGCCGCTAGTATCCGCTGCTGCACCCGAAGCTTACTACGTGTCACTTGCATGTGACACCTGCGTGTCACTTTCGTGTCGTTGCGTGTCACCTCGTATCACTTGCTTGTCAGTATGTTAAAGCGCGGTACGTGTACCGTGTGACCTGCGTGTCACTTACCGTTCTTTTTCACCCCAAGACACCGGAGTCCCAAAAGAGGCACACTTCCGGGGGTGATGCCTATTGCCCGGCATGAACACCTGCCGGGCCGGCCTGGCACAAGGGGGATAGGCAGACCAGGCAAGAGAGGCAAGGGGGCTGAGGAAAAAGAGAAGGCAAGCAAGGTCGAAAGCAGGGGCCACAGGAGTCAGCGTTGCCCATCTTGAACCCATGTGCTCGGACACGAGCTCGGGTTTTTGTATCGCAACAATTGGTAGTGTTGGCGAATTTGTCCTGCGCTTTGTTTGACGCGCTAGCCTAGCTTCAAGGTGAGGGTTGAAGAGGCGTTTGACAAAAACAGAAAGTTTGTTGGGCGCTGCAGAAGTTTGCCCTTTGTTTCCTTGTGTTCACTCAAGAACCAAGCCTTGAAACTTTAGACTTAGATCCATTTCCCCGCTGCTCAAGTCGCGCAAACCGGCTTGTCTCACACACGTCATGTTGAACAGCCACAGATATTGGGCGGGGGGGTCAGTAGAAAACATCGTCCTCAAAAAGCCTCCCAAGAAACACTCCTCCGCAAACCTCCCCAAACCTCCCCCCCAAACCTCCCCAAACCTCCCCTCCCCAAACCTCCCCAAACCTCCCTCCCCAAACCTCCCTCCCCAAACCTCCCCCAAACCCTCCCCAAACCCCCCAAACCCCCGAAACCTCCCCCAAACCCCTGAAACCTCCCCAAAACCTCCAAACCTTTTTTTTGGCTTTCCTTCGTTTTTTTTACAGAATATCCATCCGCCGAAGGCCACGACATATATGGGTCAATGGCTCCACGACCTGCAGCACGGCTTCGGCGCCCATGCCTCGGAATCCTCCAGCCATCGGATGGTTTTGGGGGCGCGGGTTGTTCTTTTGGGAGCAGCCGGGGGGGGGGGGGGGGTGGTGGTTGTATTTGCACTGGGATTGTTGTTTTTGTTTCTTCTTTGGGGGATGATTTTGTAGGGGCTTCATTTGTAGCTCTTCTGGTCTTGTACCTGAAGTGGCCTTGCTTTTGGGTACTTTTGACAGCCCTTGGAAGGTCCTCGAGCATGTTTTCCTTTTTTAGGTGTGTGTTTGTGTGTGTCTCTTTTTTTTTGCTTCCGGGGGGGGGGTGTGACGGGAAGCTCATCCATGCGGATGACTTTCATGGTACCTGTTGGAAACTAGCGGGAACAACAGTATGTTTCTATTTTTGACACAGACCCCAATGCCTATTTGAAGGCGTGGAATAGTATGGCTGTGCACAGAGTTTTTTTTTCCGGAAGGGCGGGGGCGGGGGGGCGGGGCCAGGTGCTGAGTGGATTCCAGCCACGACTGCCTCTTCTGCCCCCAAGAGGAGCTTTCCGAGGACCCCTGCTGGGGTCCGGCTGAGGTTGAAGGCCGGATGTCTGCCCAGCAAACCGAGGGTCTTTGAGGGCAAAGCTGCTCTTCGGCCGGAAACTCTATGTTTAGTGCAGGCCCTTTTAAGTGAGGACTTTCCGGATAAGATCTAAGAGTTGGGGGGGGGTTTACGGCTTCAACTGACAAGGGAAGCGATAGCCATGCTGTTTCGCTCGGCGCGCCCAACCGTCGCACCCGTGAAATCAAATGAGCTGGAGAACGAAATGGAGATGTCAAGGAACGCACCGAAATGGCGCGTGATGACAAACATTGACTCCTGTCTGGGCAGTTGATCCATTTTTGCAGGGATTGCATTTCGCATTCCTCGTTCCCTTTACTTGCTGGTGCGATAGGCAGGGAATGAGGGAATGATCCTCATAACACCATCCCTGGTGGTTCCTTTAAGGGAATCCCCAGGTTCATTCCCAACACCTCCTTATTCATTGTCTTGTGCATACCTAGGTTCATTCCCTACTTGGTTCATTCCCTACGTTCATTCCCTACGTTCATTCCCTAGGTTCATTCCCCAGGTGCATACCCACATCCCCTACCTATGGCACCAGCAAGTAAACCCATCCGCTCTGCCTCGCTTCTTGGCGTTTCGCTGAGGTGGAGACGTGGGAAGAGGGGTGCAGCTTCCAGGGGGAGTTCCAGGATCGGAAGGGAGCCTAAAGCCCTTCTTGTAGACTCCTTGGCTAATGCTAGGTCCCCGAGTAGTGCCCTTTTACCGTTTCGTTTTTGGGGGGAGGGTTCCCCTACTAAAATAGACTACAGAAAAAAGAGGGTACCCTTATTCTACCTCTCTACTGGAGGACCTAGTAATGTTACCCCGGCTAAAGCAGACACCCCTGGTTGATTTGTTTTGTGTTGCTCGGTCGAGCCTCAAACACGTTAATCCCAGACTTACCTGCCCAATTCTTGTTGTTCTCTTGTGAGAATCTGAGGTGTCACAACCATCAGTGTTACTTGACACCCAACAGCTTGCTGTTTTCACGTGTTCGTTTGTTTGCCCTGTGGCCCGGTTTTTTTTTTTGCAAAAGATGCCCCCGATCCATTAAGAGCTCCAAGAAAAAGGGAATGAGATACTCAGCAAGTGAGGGAATGTGGTTGGAGCCTGGTGAAGACTATGGCTAAGAAACGAGCTTCATGAGTGAGCCCATACGAGCTTTTCGCTTGGATCGCCCATGTAAAGAACAGCTGCCAGGGTTGCAAGCAGTCAACAGGCTGGAGCTGTGGCTCAAAAGTCAAGACGCTTACCCTTGGCGTAGGAGGCAGCGTTGAGCTTGAGATGAGACTCAGGAGATTGAGCACCTAGGTTGGTTGCTATGAGGGAAAACCACTACCAGCATGAGAGGATCATGATCATGATAAGTAC